AGACTAGAAATCTCTCTCTCTCTCTCTCTCCCTCCCTCCCTCCCTTCCTACTTCCCTTCATCCCTCCCACCTCTACCCTCTAAAGCAAGCCCCTAATTAAATGCTTTATTTTGAAAGAGTTGTGTTAGTCATGGTGTCTCCTCACAGTAAGAATGTGGACTAAGACAGATTCATCCAGGATCATCCTATCAGCACCAAAGCAGATAAAAACCAATGCAAAGAGCTAAATACAAAAGCTGAGCACTTCCTAACTCCAGGCATTTTTTACTTACATTGTCTAGTTTCTTCTACATAACTACCGCATGAGGTAATTTTATCTTACTCATTTAACAGAAGAGGAAACTATGATTTGATGATATTAAGTAATTTGTCCAAGATCCCACAAAAAAGAAACTGGAGCTGAAACCCAAGTTATATGGCTTTCAAACAAACCGTTCTTCTTTTCACCTCCTAACCTGGCAAGAAACTCTGTCATTAAAACATTCAGGCTCTTCATTAATACTTACTAAGGAAAGAGAGAATATCAAGCTTATGTTGAATGGTAATAATGTAGAGTGACTATTAATCATAGTTTTATAACGACGGATGAAGATTTAAGAAATAATCGCAAGTTATGCATCACATTACATTTTTTTAAATCTGAGTATGTAATACCCTAAAAATAAAGCCATTTTGTTAAAATTTATTTTTTTAAAAAGGTACTAAGTGAACCTAGTTTACCTATATATTTTGAATTTTAAAAACTCTTGAGGAGCCCACATGTGAGAGCCACATATCAGTAAACTACATGCATGGTAAACTTGGACTGTACTTGTTCTGACAGAATAGGAAAAAGTAGCTATTCTATTCTGATTTCTTTGCTCCAGATCTTCTATGTCCTCTATTCTGTTTTCCCAAATGCAGAAGCATCTGAGTTACTGCAGCCGAGCTACACCACAAAGTTAGGTGCACCTACAGATTCCCTGGATTGAAGCCCACAAAACTGTGAGGCGTGGAAGAGTGCTGTGTGTTAAACAGCAAGTGGGGTTTTAGTTATTTTCTAAAACAGTAGCTGTAACAGGATTATTGGTGACTTTTCTATTTTCTCAACTGATTTAGAAGAACTTATCTTGAGTAACTAAATGAAAATGGTAATAAAAGAAGTAAGAAGAAGGGGAAAGGCAAGGAAAGTGGAGCTCTGGTGAAAACCTAATAGGCGGTTCAGCATTCCTAAATTTGCTCAATTCACTGTCCAAGCTCTAAAACTGTGACCTTGTTCCCTTAGATGTCCCAACGAAACAAGTGTGCCAAAGACTGTGAAGATCTGTCTATACATCTGTAAATTCTGATACATACCTCTCAAAAATTTTAGAAATTAGTATATAAAGGTAGGTATAAGAATCTTTCTGAAATGGAAGAGGACATAAATATTTAAGAAAAGTACAATTATTTCCTAGGAAAGAAAAAAATACAATTATTACTTGTGTGTGAGAAAGGGGAACCCTCCTCCACTGTTGGTGGGAATGCAAACTCATACAACCACTCTGGAAAGCAATCTGAGCAATCTGGCGCTTCCTCAAGATCCAGCTATACCACTCCTAGGCATATACCCAAAAGAGGGTCAAGTACACAATAGGGACATTTGCTCAACCATGTTTGTAGCAGCCTTATTTGTAATAGCCAGAAGCTGGAAACAGCCCAGATGCCCCTCAGTGGAGTAATGGATACAGAAATTGTGGTACATCTACACAATGGAATATTACTCAGCAATAAAAAACAAGGAAGTCATGAAATTTGCAGGTAAATGGTGGGATCTGGAAAAGATCATCCTGAGTGAGCTGTCCCAGAAGCAGAAAGACACACACAGTATATACTCACTCATATAGATATATAACATAGGATAAACCTACTAAAACCTGTACATCTAAAGAAACTAATCAAGAAAGAAGACCCTGACTAAAATGCTCAATCCCCATCCTGAAAGGCAAAGAAGATGGACATCAGAAGAAGAAGAAAACAGGAAACAACCTAGAAACCTGCCACAGAGGGCCTCTGAAAGCCTCTGCCCTGCAGACTATCAATGCAGATGCTGAGACTTAAGGGTAACCTTTGGGCAGAGTGCAGGGAATTTTAAGAAAGAAGTGGAAAATAATAGTAGTATCTGGAAAGGACAGGAACTCCATAAGGAGAGCAACAGAACCAAAAAATCTGAGCACAGGGGTCTTTCCTGAGACTGATACTCCAACCAAGAACCATGCATGGAGATAACCTAAAACCCCTGCACAGATGTAGCCCATGGCAGTTTAGTGTCCAAGTGGGTTCCATTGTAATAGGAACAGGGACTGTCTCTGACATGAACTGATTGGCCTGCTCTTTAATTACCTCCCCCTGAGGGGGAAGCAGCATTACCAGGCCACAGAAGAAGACAATGTAGCCACTCCTGATGAGACCTAATTGACTAGGATCAGAAGGATGGAAAAGAAGACCTCCCCTATCAGTGGACTTGGGGAGGGGCATGCATGCAGAGGGTGGAGGAAGGGAGGGATTGGGACAGGAGGAGGAAGGGAAACACAGGGGGATACAAAGTGAATAAAGTGTAATTAATAAAGATTTTTTTAAAAAAAGAAAAGTACAATTCTTTCCTAAGAAAGAAAAAATACAATTATTACTTGTGTGTGAATTGATATCATTTCCTTTATCAGAAACTGAAGTTCTGTATTAATATATTCCTTTATTAATATTATGAGACAACAGTGAAGATAGTTTTAAGTCCTATTGAAATACTAGTAAACAAAGTCCCCCCATGAAGTACTTCTAAATTAGTTGACACATTTTAGGTTCACATTTGCAAAGTCTTTTTCCATTACAAAATACAATATGCACAAGATTGGTCCAATTTCATGGATCAATTGGATGAAATTAATCAGTTTAATAATCAAAACACTAAATAATCCCTTTGCCCTCACTCAAAACATGTACAGCATGGTGCAAAACTACTACCGATTAACACCAATCCAAGCTTAAAATACAGCTTTAATTTTTATGACAAGAATGTGGATTACCTTTCCTGTGGCTTATGCAATTTACCAATCTGGGCCAGAGTTACAAAGATACTGTCTTCCCAATAGCTCACAAAACCACACAAAGTAGCGCTTTGTGTAACTAAATTACTTTTTTTTTTCCCTGTTACTATTTCGTTGTGCTATTTCTACTTATAAACAAAGAAGTATATTGCCATATTTCGGTGTTCTGTACAGTTACGTTAGCTTTTCAATTATGATCATTTCAGTTCCTTTGTTGTCAATGTTTACTTATGGAGCAACAATGTAAGAGGTATCACTGCCGTATAAATAACAAGCACAACTCATTTGTTCTGTGTAAATTGAAATTTTTCTTGCTGTAAGAGAAAAAGAACTGCAGATCTGAAATGTTTACACAAAAGTTATAGCTACACAGCAGCTAAAAATGAAATTCAAGTATTTTGTCCACAAAAGCCTAACTTCTCCCACACGAATGGTTTCAACCTCTGAAGCAGAGACGGTGCATCAACAGGACACTACATCATCTTAGCTGGTGTATATTAATACTGTCAATGCGGAAAAGAAGCAGATCTCCGCCAAAGGTCTTTTATGGAAGAAAGCCGAAAGTGTTTCCAAGAATGCCTATGCTCTCTCTTACAACATCCACAGGGCCTTTGGGCTATCGGAAAATCTGTTCCTGGCTGTAAAAGAGACTCTCAACCTTTTACATCCTGTGGCTCTTCCGCACACCATCATAAAGCCTACACAGGTGTGTGTACAAACAGCGCCTACCACACTATGTATTTTGTAATACTTTTACTTTTAATCTTGTTCTCATTTCAAAAAAATGCTTGCAAAGTATTCTTTTAGACGTTAACTACTAAAATAGTGTTGGCCTTATCTTCAGATTTTTTTACTTCAAACTTTTATATACAGTGACTTCAGGTGAGAAGTTTTTTTCTTAAAATGCCTGAAAACTCCTGTACAAGTTAAAGTCGCATAGGTTAGAGTGATGCTGAGACCATCGTGACTGTATGCAGCTTCTTCCGAAGTAAAAAGATCAAAAGCTCCACTCCTCTTCCAACATAAGGTGAATGAAAATAAAAGGTTGCCGTAACAAATTTAGACTGCAACGGCATTCCCAACAAAATCACAAGTGCAGAGTACAAATCGACCACCTCAAGATAACTTAATTGTTCAAAGGCGCCCTAGTCCTTACCAAAACTGACTTCATGAATTAGTTCCAGAGAGCTGAGCCTAAGAGTAGTCCAAGGAAGACACAATGGTGCTTCCAAATACCTCAGACCCTAAAATGCCCTTAAGGCAAAATCGCCCTTAGGAGTCCAGACCCCTCCAGGAGTCCATCTCTGGACCAGACTCCTAAAGGACAGCCATGAACAAGAGGGGCAGTGGGACTTGAGGCCGAAGGAGGGGTGACAAGGGGTTAGTGGGTCCTGATGGAAAGGGGCTGCGGGAACACAAGGGGCTGGGTGCCCCGAAAGAGGGGGCGCGGGGTGAGGAGAGCAGAAGAGGTGTGGGCACCGCGGGCGAGAGGCGATGCGCGCAAGAAGGGAAAGGGCGCGGGCTCCCCGCGCCGCGGCCCCCGACCCCATCCCACGCCCCGCGACCCCGCGACCCGCGACGGGGCGGAGCTAGGCGCCCGCCACGGCCGGCACCGCCCCCTCAGCCTCCCGGTCCGGGCGGGTGGGAGGGGCGGGCCTCGCGGGCCGGGTGAGCAGCAGGACCCGAGCCCAACCCGGAACGTTCCGTCATGGGCTAGCACGGGGCGGAGGACCCCGCAGCCACGGGCGGGGACGGGGCTGGAGGAGGGAAAAGGAAGAGCCTCCGCGCAGCCCGCGCCCGCTGGGCCGGAGCCCGGCGCCCCCCTGCGGGCGGGGACGCTTGCCCCCGCGCGGCGCTCGCCTTCCGGCCTCCTTCCCACCTCCCGGGGCGTTGCCCGGGGCAACAGTGCCTACGGACGGCGGCGTGAAACGCACCTACCTAGAACCTGACAAGCAGGAGCCCCTCAGACCCGGGAGCCAGTCGCCACCCGGCGTCACGGGGGCCGCTCCGGCCAATAGGAGCCGCCGTCGCGAGCCTCGACAGCCAATCCCTCTGCGCTCCGGTCTCCGGGCACCCTGAGGCCTCAGCCAATGAGCGAGGGCGGGGGGCGGGCGCTGCCGCCGGCCCCAATCCCCTCCCCCGCTCCCTCCCAGGAGGCGGGCGCGGCCCATTGGCCCGGGCCCGCGGGGGGCGGAGCTTAGCGTGGGCGCGGGCTGGGGCTGCGGGCGAGAGGAGGCGTGCGCCGCGGCCGCCGCCCTGCGGGCCGGTTCACGTCGGGGCTGCCCCTCGGCGGCTCTCCCGCCGGGAGGAGCCCGGTTCTCCGAGCCCAGCGCTAGGGCTGCGCGGCGGGACGGGCGCGGGGGCGGAGGGGGCCTGACAGGAAGCTGGGGGCGGCCCGCGGGGCCGAGGCCGGGAAGTGGCTTGGCCGGTGATAAGCCCGGAAGGGTCAGCGCAGCGGCCGGGCCGGAAAGGAGGCGTGACCAGGCGCGGAGCGTCCGCGGGGCCCGGCGAGCGCCAGGTCTGCTCCCCACCCGAGCGGGCCGCGCCCCGGGGGCTGCCTCCCCGCGGGCCGCTGGGCGTGTGCGGTGACGGGCATTCCTCGAAGCGGCTCTGCGGTTCCGCCCAGCGCCCGGAGCTGCCGGCTCGCCCCCGGGCCCCCGCCCCCCGCGACGCTGACGATCGGCCCGTCGGGAAACCGGAGGGGGCTGTGGAAGGCGTGCCGCCGGTCCCCGGGAGCGCTCCCCTCGAAAGGGCTTACCTCTAGGAAAGTCTAGAGAGCGGGAACCCAGACTGGTCGGCTCCTCCAGTGAGGGCTGTCTTCCGAAGCGCTCTCCGCTGGTTTTGGTGCAAAAATGAGTAATGTGGCCCGAACAGATCTTACTAGGTGATCTGGAGCTCTGTGATAGGTGTTAGTCGTCACGGAGCGTCACTCCTCGAGCACGCTTTTTAAGGCAGTGTGTCTTGTACGTGAGTTCGACCACATTCGTTGCCTGCAACAAGTCTAACAACTCCTCTCCCACTCCCACCCTTAAAACCCGTTAGGTGGGAGCCAAAGAACAATCAATACTTTTTAACTCTAAGTGGTTATTCATCTAAGTAGTAAGTCTCAAAGCCCAAGAAACCAAAACATATGTTAAGGACACGCAAATGTTTAAGTCTTACTGTTGAAAATGAGATGCTCTCTCCTTTTTCCAGAAAAGAGTAAGTGCTCTGTCAGATTTATGATCCAGGAATACCTTTCTTAAGAACTTGGAATGTACACGGGTTGTGAGTCATTGTTAGTGCTTAAAGCCATGGTTGAACCTCACAACGCTAGGAAAGCCCCTTACAAAGCTGGGATCCAGGATCTTTCCAAGTTCACAGGCACCAGAAGAAATAGCCCCTTATCTCCAGGTTCTGTAAAACTCTAGAACTCTTGACTTAAACTGTGAAACTACCTCGGGCATAAGGATTGCTTTTTCTCCTAAAATACAGTAGCTAACTCAGATGGCCAACCCAACAGTCCACTATAGATGTGACAAGTAGAGCCAAATTCTGGTACCTGAGGACTAGCTATTGTTCATTATGAAACTCTGAATAATGGGTTGTATCTACTGCTCTACAGAAAAGAGTGAGATTTGTGTCTTTACAGTGTCTTAGGTAATGCCTGGAATGTGCATCACATTCTGGTTTAATGCCTACTTGACAGTAAAGGTGCCTGCCTTCTCTCACATTACCTTATCGATGAACCCCAAGTCTCATTTTTAATAGAATCAAAAATAATGTTTTGTATTTTTTGTAGTTCTGTAGTTAAATGCATAAACAGCATTTTAAATGCAAGTTGGTTTTCTAAAAGCAGTGAATATTGTATCACATCAGTGTGGGTGAAATAAATACAAATTAGTGCATGTATTAAGTGGTTTGAAAAACCCATATAACCTTTTATACTGCTGTACCACACGTACCTTTTCCAAGAACCTTAGGCTTTGCATGTTTATAAAAGAAAAAAAACAATCTGAGGATGGGACTGGTGGGTTAGTAAATTAAGGACTTGCAGAAAATAGCTTTAAGTAAATATACATAGACTTATTTGGTATATGACAAAATCCACCTAAAGTAGCAAGAATCTTTTCCATTCTGTGGTTATTCTACTCCCACTTAATCAAGAAACATAAGTTGTCCACCGTATGTCAGGTATCATGCTGAGAATGCAATTTTGCAATTAAAAAATTGATCATTGAGTAGACAAGCCACAAAAATTTAGCCAAAAAAAAAAAAAAAAAAAAAAGAAAGAAAGAAACTGTGGGGGAAATAACACAGCCACTGCTAGTTTTACTGTTTTCCCCCATGATAAGTATCAATTTGCACTGGAACACATGTAACAAATACTTTTTTCCACTTCCAAAAATTCTGAACAAATTTCCTTCAATTTTGTAAGTATGGGACAATATAGGAGAATGAGGAAAATAATTCATTGTCTAGGTGATCCATTGGCTTTATAAAAAGCTAATCACCCTGAGTAGAAGTTACTAAAAAATTATTTAATACATCTGTTTTCTTCCATTAAAATTTAGATCTGTAGAGGAACAACCATGATTTGTGAAATAACACAGTATCACTAGCTGTAAGCAAAGAAGCCCTCAGCATATAATCCACACAGATTAAATACAGAATTTTTATATTTTAAAGTAACTTCTGGATAAATGAATAAAATGTGAACAATAAAACTAGCTGATTAGTTTGAATATGTATTTTAATTCTTTCTTTTGGTTAGGATCATTTCTCACTCTTGTTTTTCCTGTTAAAAGTTTTCTCACAGATTTGAGGAATCTTGGCTGTGTGCCAACTTGGTTCAGCAGTTCTATGTCTGTAATCTAGGCCCCTTAGCCGGTTCCTCTCATTTGTAACTGTTCTCTTGCTCGCTTTTTAGACCCCGCCACCTGTACACACCACTTCTAGCGTGGGTGTAGTGATGAGGGGAACATGTCTCTTTATTCTGTGCATGCTGCAGAGTCTGCTTTCACAGGATATAAACATCATTGATTCTGAAGATTGTTCACTTAAATGGATACTTTCACTACAGATCATGTCTGGGTGAAGTTCAAGGTGATGTTTGGGTTTTCCAAATTTCAAAATGTCCGTATGTGGCTTCCTCTTTGTTACAAATCTGTATATGGAAAATAAGGGGAGCAGATGGAAGGAGGGTGAAGTAGATGAGAGGAAGAAAACTTCCATAGTCTTCAAAGTAAATGTCAGCTCTATTAAGAACACTTTATAATGGCCCCTCCCAAACAGAGGCTGGCTGGGTGAACAGGCTCATATTGTTTCCCTTGGTTCCTTGGTTTTCTGCTCTCCACTGAGAAATACTATCACCAACATTCTACATCAAGACTTGTCCTCTTCAAATGCCTGCAGATTAACCTTTACTTCCCCAAGATTCACCTGCCCTTTCCCTTCATTCCCTTACGCCTAGTTTTCTGTGCCTCCAAAGACAAGGCTAAAATGTGCTTGACCGTTTGGAGACATGACTTTCCCACGTGGTCACCTGAGGGCCTCACAAGAAATGCACACTACCAGACTCATTCTTTAAGATTCTGACTTGGGAAGGTCTGTGGTGAGTTTTAAAAAGAAAATCTGTGTTTAGGAGACCAGTCAGTCTGCTCAACAAGGTGCATTGAGCTGAGGTTCTATCTCTAGTTCCTTGCAGCAACAAATACACTTAGGTCCAGGTCACTGGGGGTCCAGCTGTCAGATAGCCCTGAAGGTAATAGTAAGGAGAGAAGCTGAAAACAATTAATGGGAAGTCTGTAATCTAACAGTCTCTCAGAACACTTCCTCCACCAAGTTACTATGGAACAAAATGTTAGCTTCTAGCTTTGGGTTGGGCCAGATGACGACTGAATGCACTCCAGTGCAGTACAGGAGGTGGCAGGAGAGCCACAAGCTTCTCTTGCTTAGCGCCTGCAATGCCATGCACCAGGCTGCCAGGGTCAGTGACTTGCCTGTGGAAGAATATTTTATGTCTGCTTGGAGGGTATTCTGTCTAACAGCCCTATCGCTTGCCTAATCACAACAAAGATGAAGTGTTCAATCCGTAAGTTCAGCTGGAAAAAGACAAATGGATAGCATCTTGTTTTAAGTAGACGTGCAATCATGGAAATGAGATATCAAATCAAAGAGAGGGTGGTGCTGGTACAAAATAAAACCAAAGGGGAGATTAGGGTAAAAAAATAAAATAAAATCAACTGTGAGTGATTTCCTTTACAAAGAAGATACTGGGCTGGAGACGTGGCTCAGCCAGTGGTTAAGAGCACAGACTACTGTTCCAGAGGACTGGAGTTCAGTCCTTACAGGTGACTGATCCACCTGTAGCTCCAGCTCCAGGGGGAATCAATGCATCTGTCTTCCTTGGGCACATACATTCACATGAACATAACACACACACATGTGCATAATTAAAATGAATAAAAATAAATCTTAGAAAGGAGGATAGTGTGTGTATGAATACAACATACTCTCCCCAAAGAAATACTTAGAGAAAGAAATGAGTGTGGCATATCTCCTAAGGAGATTTACATCCCCTAAGGAGGCTGACTCTTCCCTGAGCAGCCATCAGTTGCCAAAAGCACCTTCAAAGGATGGGGGGCCTCAGGGCCCCACCCCCATCCATGTTGGAATTTTAAATAGCTTGATCTTGTCAGGTTTTATGCAGGTAACCACGGCTACTGTAAGTTTTGTATGAGCCACAGCCTCATAAAAATCAAACCAGGTTGTGTAATTGTATTTCACAATTACATTATTTTTAATAATATTATTCACAATTATATTATTTTTAATATAATTGTATTTCACAATTATATATTCTTGTATTTCCTAACTACCTCCAGCAATAAAATAATAACTCCAGATTTGACCTAATATTTTCAATTTACATATAGTACCTGTATAAACATCACCACTATACAAAGGGAAGAGAGTTCCAAAA